TCTAACTAACCGAGCTAACCAGCCAGCCCTGTTGTTGCTTTCTTTAGACTCTCCTTCATGATAGATATTTCCACGAGTGCTTTTTTTATGTATTAGCTCACACTCAGTGGATCTTTATCTATGGGAATTCTATGTCCCTGGTTGAGGCTGTATCCTTTCATAGACCATTTGTCTCAGGGTTATCCTCACCCTAAAACAACTTTTTAATGTTAGTTCTTCTAGGTAGGTAGCGAAAAATCAAACCTGTTCCACTGACCACAAATTCTGAAGGAAGGTCTCTGTCCCTATTATTCCAAGGCCAGGAACAAGGCAAGTTTTTTTTGTTTGTTTTTTGTTTTGGCAGTTGGCCGGTATGTGGATCTGAAGGGGCAAGCTTTCTTGACCATTGTCTTTTGCTGGCAGATTAGTTTTTTTCTAGTTCATTCTTCTGCTCAAGACTTAAGTCCCTCCAGGAATCTTGATTCCAGCTTCCAACTTTATATAGGTCCAAAATTTTATCTTTTATACCCTGATGAAAATTAAAATTTAAGTCCCTTGTTACTGCCTCTCCTCCCCCAAGGGCAGCCAAGGTGAGCGCCACCTCACCACTCTGACTTCCAGTGCTCGTTCTCTCTGGAATACAAGATTGTTGAGAGAACTAAAAACGAAAATATATGTTAAGCACTTAGCTCCTTGACTCATACACAAAGGTACTAAAAACAATGTAACTATGAAATTACTTTTATTGGCAAACATTAAATTTTACAATCAGCTATTGAAATAAACAAATGAACCTGACAGTGGGTTTTTATTGTTCTCTGACTTAAAGAATATTGAATGTTCGTTAGTTCCCCAAGTAATTGTGGACCATTGCTTATAACCCATACCAATAATGAGAGTATGCCATTAAAATGATCCAAATCAATTAATTAGAATACATTTATAAAGGCCCTATTTGCCAACTCTGTGTTTACTTTGTGGTTTTGAATAAAATTAGAATATTTGGAGAAAACTCCCCAAGTTGGTAATTCAGCAGGTATTCTCTTTTAAGTTCTGACAGATATGTGTTTTAGGCTATAAGTTCTAACAAGGCAAGAGCTAATTTGTTTGGAATAATACTCATTCCAGTATGATGCATACATGAGTATCTATTAGGTAAAAAGGATTTCCTAAACATGACACTTCAGAATAGTAATAAATACAATAAAGAAGACTGGGTCTGACTCTTAATTGCTGTTTGACCCAGGGCAAACCACTTAGTGACTATGAACCTGTTTGTTTCTTCATCTCTAAGGAAATCTGCCCTTCCTGCTTTACAGAGAACTTATGAGGAACAGATGAGGAGGCAGGGCAGCCGTCGGTATATGAAAGTCCTTTGTATACTGTAATGTACCATAATTCCATAAGCACTGTTGAATTATGTTAAAAAATAATAATATCCCAGTCTGTTCATATTCATCATTTTCATATAGAGAAACACAGAAAGGTAAATTCCTCGTCTCTGGCACTATGAATTACTATAGCCACTTGCAAGCAGGGACCTGTGTGAGACAGACATCTAAAATTAAACTTCAATCTACCAAAGCCATTTGAAATAGCTTATTGTGCTTTAGGGTCATCATGTGGTCTATTTGGTCATCTGTGTACCCTCATAATGCAGTAAAGGGTAAGTCCACAAGGGTGCAGAAAAGGCTTGGGGGGGGGGGAACTAGCTGTAGTTTTGGCATTGTGTTTTTCTGTATGAATGAGTAATAGCCTCACACAAAGAACCCCTAGAAAGAAAGAGCTGCAGTAATTGCCTCATGACATTAGTAAATGATTTCAGCACATAAAGAGATCTAGATGGCAGTAATTCAAGCAGTCTAAAAGACTCTGAAAAAGGCCACAGGCACTAAAAGAACCGTAGATTGCTACCAACTTAGAGAATTTAAAACTTCCAATCCACAAGATAGAAATTAGTCTAAGCAATAAGCAAATTTTATACTGATTGACATATTATTTGAGAATAACTATCAACAAAAGACAAGTTATTTCCCATGCTTATTATTTACCATATTTTCCAGGCTGTATATTATAAATGAAGCCAAGATTTATGACATATTTTACTCTTTAAATCCTTTTTATTAAATCCCTCCAAAAGCAGCTCTAAATTTTCATCAGTTCAGTAATTCAAATAGTTATGTGTTAAGTGTGTCCCACAGAAGCTAACTGGCTAGTGTGTTCTGGGAGTTATCCCAGAAACGGGGCTCACAGGGGACAACACGTGAAGAGTGAGGGCCTTGTCTGCTTTGTGATGTGTGGTATGATATCTCAGATAGTATACAAAGACATGATTAAAATATTGTGAAATGTTAGGTTACTTTTTCCCCGCAAGAGTGGCACAATTTTTTTAGGTCATTTTTACAGCTGGTAAAAATCTGTTTTTTTAAAAAACAACCTATAACAACCAATAACTAATGTCAGCTCACTTCCTCTTCCCCATCCCTTGAATGCAACCTCAGCATTCTTCTAAACTTCAGTGTTTCAGGGACCATCAGAGTAGATACACATGGTAAAACCTATGTGACATCACCAGGTTAGGCTGAACAGGTTCTAGGAGATACTGATATAGGATTAAACGGCAATAGGAATAGGAATTAGCCAAGACTTTTAACTGGTGGCTCTGAGAAGCCTAGAGAGCTTCCTGATGTAGAAAGAGCAAATTCCACCCACTAAAATGAAAGGTGAAAACAGAGGCCTTATGATGTAGTTCTCCCCACATCCCTCACTAAAGCAAAGTGTTTGTCCTAGGCATATGCGTAACTGTTGAAGGAGAGCATCAAGATCTCATTCCACGTGGGCACTGTTGAGAAAGCACCATGTAGGGTGTGCTCAATGTTTCCTCTTGTTGGGAGAGTATCCCTCTTCTACACGACAAAACAGGTATCCCTAACAGCACATCAAGCTTTCTCAAACACTATTCACAGGTCTCCAGAACAGTAGATAAGTGGACAGGGAACTTTTCAAATTACTCTGCTCTGCTTGTAAGTCTTAGGAGGGAGGACCATATCTTTGTAATAATGAAATTATTGGGCCGGCCCGGTGACGCACTGCTACAGTGTGCCGCTTGGGAGCGCAGCAGCGCTCCCGCCGAGGGTTCGGATCCCACATACAGACCGGTTCCCGCTCACTGGCTGAGCGAGGTGCGGGCGCAACACTGAGGGTTGCGATCCCGTTGCCAGTCCTGGTCCGGTACGGGCGTGACATGAAAAAAATAAATAAATAATGAAATTATTAAGACATGTAAGGTGATCAAGAATATCTCGCCACATCTTCAAGGCTGCAGATAGAGTAGAACATTAGTGTTAAGAAATACAGAGGCCTAAAGTGAATTCCAAAGGACTACAGAATCATTCAGCAATGAACAGCTGTGATTTGTTTCTAGAGCTGGTAAATTCCCCTCAGGCAGAGACTTTTGTTAAAAGGGATAAAAAAAGGTTTCCATTTCTGAGCATTCTCAAGATCCTTTGCTGCTCTCTCACATTTAACCCAAAGCCATTAAAGCAACCTATTTATTCTGAAACTGCATTTCTTTAATACAGCTTTGGAGAGGATGTTTCTAAGAAGTACATGTTGCATTGGTCCCTATCCTTTGCCATTTACTATAATTGAACCCTCCGCTGCACTGCAGTGGAATCTGCCAACAAGGAACAGCTACTAAACTGAGAGCCCCTTTGTCCATGAGGACCGATCTTGTGCTAGACTAGTGCAGAAGGGAAACCATTCAAGACTTTCATTGAGTTGGTTTGAAGTATGCACTGCTATAGACACAAAATGTCTCATTGTGATGGTCTGCTAGAGGTACCCTATGTTACATTTTGAGAAACACTTGAAGCCACAGAGCTATTTCTCTTTCACACATATTGACACCACAGATGTGAAGAAAAAAAGCACACACAGTTAATGAGCCCACAGAATACCCAAATGCTCTGAGAAGTTAGCCAAAACCTAGGAGAAAACTATTAACATAAACCCAAATCAGTGAACAGGATCAGTATGAACAGCTCAACAACTTGACAACTGTGAATAAAGGTTAACCACAACAACACAACCTTCCTACGAATCTCCCCAAAGATGCAGTAAGTAGTTTAGACTAAAACGATACGGGGAAATTTTCTTCCCAAAGACTTTACTACCAGTAATGTGACCACAGGGAGACAGACACTATTCTGAGGATCTGAAACAGATTTACTACGTTTAGTTTCTGAGGCCTATATCAAGATCTCATCTGGGATTTAATCTAAAATAATTTTTTTTTTTTTAGGTTTATAAACACTTTGGGAAAGATTCTGAACAGACAATACAACTTAAGGTTGTTCCAGCTGTTCCTCAAATATGAAGTTATAATGCTTTCATTTTAGTGGGAGTAAGGATTACAAGTCTGGTGAATGGGGATGGGATGAAGTTAACTACTTTCCACTGTTCTTATGACCCCACAATAAAAACAGATTCTTAAAAATACATAAATGTATAAAAATATATTAACACACACACAAACGTACTTATGCTTTTCAGACCTATTACAATTTATAATCCCGTAATTGTTAATGACACACGAAATTTTATTCCAAGTCCACCTACGCCTATGATTGCTGCAGAGATGAAGCATCTGATTTAGGAGTCTAAATGAGTTAAATATATGACTACGGGTCATATTTTGGGTAAAATGAAAATAGCTATTTAGCCATAGCAAGATTTTGGCCTAAGCTATCGCCTGTGTTTATTTATGACTACATGAGTTTGGGGGTTACAGTAAGGAAATTCAGAAGGAAAGTTTTTTTTAAAAATAGCTATACTCTTAAGGCTTTTGTGTATTGTTTATGAGGTGACAATCAAAACCTGCTATCTCCAGAATTTGCTCTCATATACCTCTGACGATGTGGAGAAAGTTCCAGCTCCTACTTCAGAAAAGAAAAAGCAGTGCTTATTCCAGGTACATCAAAGTAGTAACTGTCAGAGAGAAAAGGTTCTGCTAAACCTACCAGGAGGCGTGCAGGCATCCGCAGGAGACTGGACAAATGTGGACCGCCTTTTGGTTGGCATGGGCAAAGCCATCTTCTGTTCTTTATGCTTTGCCAATGCAGCTTGAACTGCTTCTGTGTGGATATCTGAAAAAGTAAACATTTGCATTTATTAGTTCCTGGTTCTTAAAGTTTTTACTGCTGTGGGCTGAACTATCACCGCCTCAATTGTTGAAAAAGGTAAAAGGGATGTTTCAGTGATTTTTATTTATCATTTGGCTTGGACCAATTAAAAATAAAAATCAAAAATACAGACAAAAGAAGTCAAGGATAAACTCACAGGAAAATGAAGTCCAGAATGATTATATGACTGCTTAACATACCAGACAAGGAGCTGACTGAGACATGGGGGCTGGGGGTGGGGAGAGTACCGAGTCTAACAACATGCATCTGTGCCAGGCAGGAGTCCTGCCTCCATGGAATGAGTGCTGTGCAGGTGCCAAGAGGACACTCGTTACTTTTCAAGAATAGAAGCTTAGGATTTGCTTAACTGTCTGAAAGAAAACTCGGTTGAGACCCCTCAGTTCTATGCCACGGGAACACAAGGGTTGATTCTGATCTAGAAAAATATAAGGGCAGATGTTACTTGTTTGCCGCTTTGGCCACAAAAAGAATTCAGCTCTCCACTTGAATGTCTAACAGAAATCTCAAAATAAACATATTCAAACAGAACTCTTGATTCTCTAACAGACCCCAAAACTCATTCTATATTTCTACAAAATAGGACCACTGTACACAGTATTTTGTATTTTTTTTTTTTAATTTATTTTTATTACAAAATCCTACAGAAGTAGATAACAACCAATGTAGCATCCTGGTTCACAACAATTACCTCTTGTCTAGGAACGGGCCCAATCTATATGCAAACTATCCTTTCAGGCCTCTGCGCTATGTAAATATGCCTCTTAAAAGTCCGGGACCAGGGCCGGCCCGGTGGCGCACTGGATAGTGCGCCGCTTGGGAAGCGCGGCGGCGCTCCCGTCCGAGGGTTCGGATCCCATATACAGACCGGTTCCCGCTCACTGGCTGAGCGAGGCGCGGGAGCAACACCGAGGCTTGCGATCCCGTTGCCGGTCCCCGGTCCGGTACGGGGGCAACACTGAGGGTTGCGATCCATTGCCGGACACGGAAAAAAGACAAAAGACAAAAGACAAAAAAAAAAAAAAAAAAAAAAAAAGCCCGGGACCAACCAGATCCTTTTTGGGGGGAATTAAAACCCTGAAAAAAAAAACCGCAAGCCCTAGAGTT